TGGGGGCAATATACTGACTCTGTAAACCGCTTAGAGAGGGCTGAAAGCCCTATGAAGCGGTATATAAGTCTAACTGCTATTGCTAATCCCAACCAGCATAAATATTTCATTTAGAGTCTGAACTGGAGACAGCTGTGATAGAGGTTTGTGGGCTGAGCACTGGCTTCCACAGATGCACGGAGGCTGGTAGGTCTTTGTCTTGTATTCACATCAGTGCCTCTATGGGAATCATAACTCCTTAAAAAACTCTTCTGCCGGACATACTGTGTTCAGCATTTGTGGGAACTGAAAGAACTTCCACCTCCTAAAATAGGATGCTGAACACTGAGGAAAGACAATACTTGAAAATCACGTCCTTGGCATATAGATGGCTAGGGGAGTCAAATAATACCTGAGCCCCAGATTGGAACAAAATCCTAAGATACAGAGACTTAATTGATAGACAGGGACATTTAAAAACAATTGAAGAATTGGCAGACCAGAACATGAAAGTTGACTGGCTAACTCAGTGTTTCTCAACCTTGGCGACTTTAAGTCCTGTGGACTTCAACTCCCAGAATTCCCCAGCCAGCTATTCTCTGATTAATGAATAATTTTGCTGTCACTGCTTCCATTTCTTTACCTACTTTGCTCTTAAAATGTTATCAAAAGTGTTGCCCTGCAGCCAGATCCCCTTTTTCCTGCATGCAAACATCTGTGGTCATCTTAAAATAATCTCATTTTTCTGCTTTGTGCCTAACTTTCTGGGTTCTGAGATCATTTTCAGTTGCTAACCTATTTCCAAGACTATTTGATGGCATCTAAAGAAGAAAGACTACAGTATTTTTCAGAGTATAGGATGCACATTTTTTCCTCAAAAAAGAGGCTGAAAATCTGGGTGCATCCTATACACAGAATACAGCATTTTTTGCCTCCTGAAACCCCGCCCCCCTTCACCAAAATGGCCATGCATACCCTTATGAAGGCTTTCAGAGAGCTGGGGGCTGGGGAGGGCAGAAATGAACAAAAAACGGGCTGTTTTTGCCCCCTCAGCTCCCAGCAGCACTCTCTAAGCCTCCAGAAGGCTATGCATGCAATTTTTTTGACAAAAAATGGCCCTTTTTTTGCTCGTCCCCCCCCCNCTCCCTTTCTTCTCTCTCTATCCCTCTCTCCCTCATCGCCACCTGACATCATATCCCATCCACCCATTGCTGCAGTGAGAGAAACGTGCATTCACACACACACACACACACACACACACACAGAGAGGCGCGCTCGCGCACGCACACACACTCACACACACAACCACACATGCACACACTCACACCAAGCCAGGGAACAAAGCTGCAGCTGAGGCCATACTAGGAGTTACCGTCTCCGTGGTGACCGCTGCCCTCAAATGCACATCAAAGACATGATGGGGACGTGCCTTTTAGCAATGCACCATCTGCCTTGCTAGCTGGATTGCATATACCATGTGGTGCCCAGGTATGGCTGGGAATCTCCCTCCTGCTCCACCTGGGTGAAACCGTTCTTCCACGCGGTGACTGCCGCCCGCTGCCGTCTTCGCTTCTCCCTTCTCCCTTCTCCCTTTCTGAACTGCCGCTGGATTCGCTGGATTGTTTCATTCTTCCGAAGATGTGACCGGAGGAGACGGAGAGCGAGGCACGTCGTCCAGACAGTCGAGGAGGATTTTTGCTCGCTGAGAATCAGAGCAGCTTTGCACTGTGGGTATCCGCCTCCTTATCGGCAACATAGCCAGAGACGAGAGGCTTTCAGGTGTGTGGGCCTATCTGGCATTATCGTCTTCAGCCACGGCCCCCTGGCGGGGAGGACCACAGGAGGCGCAGCAGAGATGTGAGAGTTCCCGTACAAGGCAGGTGGGCCAGCAAGAGCCATGCAAGGCCCAAGCCTGCGTGTAGAAAGAACAGCTTTGAGGAATTAACCCCCTGCCTTTTTTTGCCAACCCCAAGGAAAGGGGACACCACTAACCAGCCACTCGTCTAGAGAGGAGGAATACCACCTTGGTGGGCAACCCCAGAGAGCCCTTGCTGCTCACTGGCCAAGAACAGAAGATGCCCTTAGTGGATTTTTTCTGTGAGACCTGTGCAAAGCCATGGCTGGTCGGCTGGTGGGACCAGGTAATCTGGATAGATCTGGGGTTTTGTCTGCTTTGTTTCTGTGGGTGGATACTGCCGGGAAGGGGAGTATGCACGAGCTTTTGGATAGCCGGCGTCTGATCTGATTTCACTGGGAGATAGATGAAGGGGAACCAAGAGGGAGCCTTACATCAGCTGCATACTTAATGTTACTAAGAGGACACGGGGCATGTCTGGTGCTTCAAGCGTCTCTCTGTAAGCATGCATCCTGACAAGATCAGGCATGGGCACCATCAGCTCAGGGTCCTGCTTTCCACAGTGCGTGGAGTGCTGTGTCAGTCCGGGAGACAAGAAAAGACCTGTGCCCTTCCTGGCAGCCTACAATGTCACACTGGAATTGCTGCCGTGTGCCCCTGTCCTGTGGCTAAACAGACCCCCAGGCCGCCCTCTGTCCCCAGTATTCCCTGATTTTCAAGCAACAGAGATGGGCCCTCTGTCAAATACCATTTGAGTCCTGCTCGAACTAGCATAGGCTAGCTCTGAAACATGGGTCCTGCTTTCCCTGAGCTCGTGGGATCAGCCCAATAGTACCATGTTTGGGATCTGCTGTTGTCTTTGTGGACATCCTTGGCTTGAGGCCGTCAGTCGATGACTTTGGGGATAGTTTTGCTTGTGATGATTGACGCAGCTTTCGCAGACTTTACTTAGCCGGAAATAGTGAAGATTTCTATGGTTGGCTGTCAGATCGGTCAGCAAGAACACAGCAGTTTGCCCTCTATTTCCTGGGCTCGATTCATTTTGCTCCATGTATGAATTTTAAAAAAAGAGAGAATGGGATCTCTTTAGAGTGGATGCTACAGTTTGTATTGGTTTTGGGGGGGGGGGGAGCGTA